TTTTAAAGTCTTCGAGAATTCTATGACTACCAATCAGAGAAGATTTGTTATTTTCGAATGCAATTGCATGAAATAATAATATCAACTATAATAATAACAAATCATATCAAATAGCAGTATAATAGAACCATCTCTTTGACGAGAGTGCTACCATATCAAATCTTTTCAACCGTTTCGTCAATAATAATTGCAAGAATAACAAGGACAATATTATTATTATGATCATTATTATTATTATTATTATTATTATTATTATTATTATTATTATTATTATCATTATTATTTTTATTATTATCATCATTAATATTATTATTATTATCATTATTATTATCATCATGATTATTATTATTATCATTATTATTATTATTATTATTATTATTACTGGTATTATTATTATTATTATTATTCCAATAAAGCAGTGAATCGCCTGTAACTCTAATATAGTTGTAACATGGATAATAGCACCACTTGCAAAAACTATTTTGATATTGACAATGCAATATTTCCGCTTTCATTTGTTTAATCGTCGTTTTCATAAGATAATTTAAAATCTAAAATTCAATAACAATAAATAATTCCAACGGAAAGAAAGACATTTTAATTGCCATATTGCAAAACGGTAACACATTATATAGAGAAAAGCAAGCTAATAACTTAAGTGAGTAGATAGGGAGAGAAGTAAATAAGATATCTACCTATATCAGCTGCATTCAAATTGAAAGCGTGATTTTTGTATATAAAATTGCCGAGTGTTCATTTTACAATGGCATCGAAGTTTTTCGTGTTATTTTAGTAACCACTCCAATCTACACTAGCTGTACCCAAAATATTCGCTGAAACAGACATAACAATGGTAATTATTAGCATTGATTAAATTACTCCGGCTGATGCAAGACTTGAAAATACTTCCTCCTCAACTAGTGTTACTACCATTGCTTCAGCAAACATTAATAGCAGTTATACTCGTGATAACTTGTGGTACTTTCCCAACTTCGAATTCTACAGTAGAAAGCTTACTAAATGAATACAGAACGGTTCCAAGGATTTACAAAGTACTGTAGTATTGATGAATCCTGTGATCGGAATTCTTTTCATATATATATATATATATATATATATATATATATATATATATATATATATATATATATATATATATATTTAAATATATATATATACACATATATATATATATATACACATATATATATATATATATATATGCATACATACATATATATATATATATATATATATATATATAATTATATATATATATATATATATATATATATATATATTAAATGGAAAATAAGAACACCTCTAATACTTGAAAACGTAACTAGTTTATCTATGCATGTCAGGTGTATACAGTTGGAGAAGAGAATGCGTAGCCTAATGTCAAAAAGTGGTTCAATTGAAACGGCTGGCGCTGCACCATCTTCTTTTGGCTGGATATGCCAGTATAATCATTTAATTGTAGGATACGCAATACTTACTTAGCATAAGTAGTTATCTTTAGAGGCATGAAAGTCCAACGTAGTATTCCTCAAAGACTACGGTGTAATTGAGGATTAAGCTCTAAGTCATTATTTCGAGATCATAATCTTATTAAACGTTTATACAGATTATATAAAGATATATTTATTAATGCTAATATAGTCGTAGAAAGAAGACGGTCAGTCAACTAAAACTTAAAAACAACTGTTATTCAAAGTTCTTCATAAAGATTTGTTTTCTAAATATTAATAAGACAAACATGTATCTGCATTAAAATAGGAGAAACGTTGGAAATATTTAAAATTTTGTCCTGGGTATTTCTTTAAAAATTGTACTAAGCATAATCTTCAAATGAAACACTTTAAAATGATATCGATCATTAGGAAGCGCCTGTTGAGGGAAAAGTGCGCCATATGGGAATTTCGATGCGGTTTCGATGCTGGGAAATGAATTGCAGTGAAATTCTACTATTCGCAATTTAAGATACACATTCAGGGCATGCTCGTTTATGAAAAAATAATCGAATTAAATGTGCCACCAAGTAAGAAGCAAAAAGCTATTAAATGTACAACCAGAGTCACTGATTCATAATCCTTTTTTCCTTCACTAACCAGTGAAAGATTCTTGACTTTTCTTTACTTTCAGAAAATTAATCAATTATTCGTAATGAGATTTGATTAAAGAGAAAAAATATTACCGAATGAAGAATATTTAGAACAGTAATATTAAATTTTACATATATATAATTTTTGTTTAACAGAAAAAAAAACAAACACTAGTAATGTCGAAGGTGGTTGTAGTACTTCTAACATTGATTTATCGTTCTCTTAGTATCAGTGTAAGTTCTAATGTATTTAATTACCCTTTCGTAATTGAAACATATAAAAATATGTAGACTCATATATATTTTCAATCTGAGTGAAATTTTAAAATTCATCACAGTAATTTTATAGAAAAATATATTTATACATTTGATATATATTTTTTAAAAAGTAAGATCGTTATGAAAATATTAAAAAAATATATGAAAACTGCACAGATTGGAAGAAGAGTTTGTTTTTTTTCTTTTTTACAATTACGGTCTTTTCAATTGTCTATGTAGAATCTAGTTACCCAAATGTCACGCTGGGAAATTTTACACATATCTAATATTATGATTAAATAAAGAGTTAAAATATACGCTTTCTCTTGTTTCTCTACAATGTGTTTTAAAAATTAGTTTATTATACAAACATTCGTTTACCTAGATTCCCGTTCGATTCCAGCGGGGAATGCATGTTCGTACTTTGCTTCTATTTGTTCGTAACAGTTTTCACTCACTTTCATTTATTCTCCACTTCGTAAATCCTTGTTTGTACTGCAACATTATCAAGATGTATTTTTCAATTGATCTTTTCCTAACATAGTTTCGTGTGTTGATAAAATGTTTATTTTCATAGTATGATCTAAACATTTTTTTTTTATTTGGGATCATTTTTAGATGGGGTTTGAATAAAATAATTAGTACGAATAAGTATTGGATAAATTTTAAGACTTCTCTAAAAAATATTCATAATTAAACCTATATATTCCAAATATAATTTCGTCAACCAGAGATTCATACATCATAAATACAAATATAAATATATACACACACATATATATATATATATATATATATATATATATATATATATATATATATATATATAGATATATATATATATATATATATATATATATGTATTTACCATCAGTTAATTTTATATGAGCCTGCATACTTTAACAAATTGTGACGATTCAAAGTTATTCCCTGCTTAAAATTTGAGGAAGGCTAGGTTCTTTTAAATAGAATTGCTTAAAATCATCTAAGCTTCGTTTCTTTCTTAATAAATTTGCATGAAAAAAAATCTGAGCCTTGCTTCATGCTTAATCTTCTGCGACTCGTCATGCTTGTAACCTTCATGCTAGTAAAAAGAAGGAAATGCACACTAATTAAATCCTCTCTAACCTTAAAGATTTCCCCAACCACAAAGTTGGATGATGTTACCAACAATGTATGGTTGGAATTAAAGGGTATATAGAAAAACTTCCAGGATTAAGCATCAAATGATATTTCAGTTCGGGTGCAGACAGTGAATATAACAGAAAAGAGAAAAAAAAAAAAACATACACTCATTTTAGTTTCCAACGTATGATCATTTGAAATGAAATAAATTCTTTTTTTTTTTTTTTTTTAAGTAGCGATAATAAATGACGGGAGAAACTCTGACAATGTTTCTTGCATCTAGTAATGTCTTTGATGATGATGATGATGATGATGATGATGATGATGATGGTTGTGGTGGTGATGATGATGATGATGATGATGATGGTGGTGGTGGTGGTGGTGGTGGTGGTGGTGGTGGTGGTGGTAGTGATGATGATTGTCACATTTAGAGAAGCGTATTTTCTGCTCGCTGCACCCGGAGTATGTTTGGCTGCTCGTAAATAGCAACCGTGCGTACACGCCTGCACGTGGGTGGACCCGATGTAATTAATGTAAATGGCAAAGCCTTAATTGAATGAGAAACAGTACCTCCCGTTTTTATATGAATCTTTTAAGCAAGACATCAGTTTACAAGACCTATGTACACGGATTCATGGAGACGGCCTTTTATGGGTTAATCCGTCTCTTGAGAAAAAATTAACACCTGGATCTTATCTTTAGACTGGAGAAAAACCGCAAACATTAGGGTTTACTATTACACTGTAAATATTTTACAAGTAAGTGTACGTACGAAAGGATTGAATGACATTCAAAATGGACTAAGATAGCTGACAATCACGTGTAAATGCATATTTTTTAAATTATCTTGGATAGATAAAACAAAACCTATAGACAAGATAGAAAAGTATGTATCTCTGTCTGTCTGTCTCTCCATCTCTTTCTCTCTCTCTCTCGCTCTCTCTAGCACACACACAAAGACATACATAAACACACACAGAGATATGTATCTCAAAAACAGACACACACGAGTACTCGTAGTCTCAGCATTAATAACAGTAGCATTACATTTTATCTTGGTGATGGACAAAAAAATCGGTTGAATATTTAAGTAACGGTTTTACGAAGTTTTCTATCAAAGGTAAAATTATAATTAGAGTAAGTAATTACACAGTTGAGATTTAGTTAGGAAAAACACAAGACAAATAATCAAGTACGTATGGAAGATTTTTAAGTGATTTCACTAGCGGACAGGTACACAGAGAAGAAAACTGCCACCCAGTCGCCGTATTGCTTGCTTAACAAAATATATTTATTTCAGTTTATTTTAGATAATAAAATGCTCATCGCAAAAGGTAATATGCCGGTATTCTTCCCATCACGTTTATGTCACGGCATGATTACAATCAGAAATAATTCAGGAATAGAAGATTCATTCCCGATTAGTTCAACTGCCTCATCGTATTCCGAAATGACACCCACACACATGCAAAACTAAAGCAAATTCAGAGGAAGTCGCATCCAACACACATACGACATAGCGAAGAATTCCACGTGTGCTGGAGACGCCTGGTGAAGTTATGCAGTAGTTTCGTCTGGGAAGAAGAAGGCGAACTGTGGAAAGCAAGAAAAATAGAAGGAAAGCCCGTTCGGTGAAGAAAAATGAAGAAAACAAGTAGAAGAGGATAACGTCACGTAAAATAGCAAAAATGCCAAATACAATAAAATGTCCCCATCTTTATTGTCATGTTCACGAAGTTTCGGCTGTTGTACGCTAAGGACTTCTTCAGTTGATTGAAATTTCGAACTGAGTGAAAGGGAGATAACTGAGACATCCTTAAGAGGCATGGCGCGTGGAACTAGAACAGATTATTCCAGTGGACGAAATAAACGGTTCAGTTCAAAATTCCAAGTCCGGGGCGTACAACGGGAAAAAAACGTTGTGAACATGACAATAAAGATAAGGACAATAGTCAAAACAATGTAAATAATTACAATACCACATCATATATACCAGATATAATAAAAAGTATTTCTATTGAAAATACATACGCCTCTTCCATTCATTTCTTTATTATTCATTTATGTATTCATTGAGTTTGGAATGCGCTGTCACGATGAAGAAACTGTTATTCCAAATATTAGGTATATACTTTATTATATCAGTGTCCCAGTTTATGTGTGGTGATGCGAGTCCTTTTGTGTTTCTCTCTATTCGTCATTCCAATTCACCATATTCTTCTGACAATATACGTATATGTGTGAACATGCATGTATGAAATATAAACATAAATAGAGATTTAGATATGGAGGGCAAGCAAGTTGAAATAAATATTAAATGAATTCATTTATTAAATTTTCACTACATCTGTTTTACACACACAAATACTGAATGATAGATATAAATATGCATAAAAGGAAAAAGAAATGAAAAAATATAAGAAGTAAATTGCAGATATCCCCTAAAAACTGGACTGACAGGTCCACCTACGAAACTCTGCAGATAACATCAATCACCTAAGTGATAAACATTTATACACATTAATCCTATATAGATATATATAGATATATATTCGACTCTGCTGTCGTATTCGACGTATGATGGTCAAACAGCACATTGCTAGAAACTGACAGCCAGATACCAGCACTTGTGATTTGATTATAGTGGCGAAGGTTTTATTTGCAGAACCATCCACACTTTTTTAATATAAAGACCTGGTGCCATCAAAGGCTATAGAACCCAAGCTGTCCTGCTATTTACCCATAGCTGGAGGGAGAAGAAGAGGATTCATATCTTTCCCAAGGATATTAGCACGTAAGTGAATGTAATGTATTCGACTAGAATTCGAACTCGGTTCACTGACTCCCCTCAATCCAACCCATTCCTTCACGGTGGCTCAATATATATATATATATATATATATATATATATATATATATATATATATATATATATATATATATTAACACATATTTTCTCTACCTACCTCTGTCTATTCTTATTATATATGAGAATTATATTCTAATGGTAAATAGGTTATGCTGTATACAAAAATAGCCAGGGATATTGATTGATACATAGAAGTGTGGATATAGACACACAAACTGCATCGTGAGAGTCAGTTTCACGTCATCAGACCATGTGTTACTCCTCTTTTTGTGGGCTCTATGCTAATACTGTATGTATCTGCAAACGCTTTATCCCCCATAAATATGTCAAATTTAATGTGTTTGCGTGAGTTTATGCCTGATAGAGACAGAGTGTGTGTTTGTGTAGAGGGAGAAACAGGATGTGTGTAGTGAGAGAGAGCGTGTGTTTTTGTGTAGTGAGAGAGAGGGGGGAGAACATAGAGAGGCGCACAGGCTGCCGGTGGTATTTAGTACATCGTTAACGAGAGGTAGCAATATTTGCTCAGAGGTATGCCGAAATCAACAAATAATTTTCTCAATACTTTTCTAAATGTACATATTCTGAAAAGAGTTGCTTCTAGATATACGTATATGTAAGTTTATATATATATATATATATATATATATATATATATATATATATATATATATATATATATTTATATATATATATATATATATATATATATATTATATATATATATATATATATATATATATATATATATATATATATATATATATATATACTGGGGTTTAATCACAAGTTTAACAACATAGACGTAATATATAACTCCATAAATCAAGTCCTACCCACATTTCTCACCCACACAATAGAGACATGCTTGCGGAGCTGTTGAGGTCCCACACTTATACACACACCCATATTACCAGATACACATAGACACATCGTACACACTCCCGAAGAACTAAATGATAACGTACACTTAATACAGACACATCACCATCCCAGGAACCAATAAAACTCTCAAAATGACCAATGGAATTCGGAGTCGCATGAATCTATCCAGCCTCTATCTTAAAAACATCTTAAAAGAGGTCATTTGACCAACAAAAGGGCTGAACAAAATTAACGATTACAAACAAATGAAAACTACAGATAAATTTCATTTTCTTCAGAAATTCATGTAGCTCACTGGTACTAACCAGCAGATTTTTTTTTTCTTCAGATGATGGCCAATGCTCTGGTCGAAACTTGGCGAGGAACTAATAAAACAAAATAATAATAATAATAATACACCCACAGTGTCTGAAAATTTTAACTTTTAATTTTACAATATTTTTATTATTTGGAAACATAATACCTTATATATATATATATATATATATATATATATATATATATATATATATATATATATATATATATATATATATATATATATAGCGTATTATGTATATATACATGTACTTACATATATATGTCTATACAAACACATAAAACTTACGCTCAAACATGCATATGCGTAAACATAGCTATATAGATGCATACAGGTCCAGTAATTCATACATAATTCTAAAAATATAGATATTAGTAATAGACAATGTATGTTATCACAATACTCATTGTTGTGAAATTACATTTAGTTCGCTGAAGTTGAACTCGTTTTGCATCTCTTAATAAGGACTTGTAAACTGATTTTTCCATCACCTATCCATGGATTCATGATAGCAATATTTATTAATCATTCATGTTTGCAAGGGTGATCCTTTGAATTGCAATTTCTGCTTCAATATTTAAAATACTTTTTACACTCTGGTTATATGCCGAAGTGTACGCGCGCTGTCATCGAGAGCATATTATCGCACATACATTTTCCATGTATATAATGTCATTTTCGAGCGTAGTGGCACTTACTGAGTGAATGAATCACATGAGTGAGTCTGAAACCAAAAGATTAGGTCTCAAATATCTAGCATTATATTTATTGGACACATTTTAATACGTACATTTAGAGATTCAATATAATATATACAAAAAGTACATGATAAAACTCATACACAAAGTACACGATTTAACTCATACACAGACATGTAAACATATATATATATATATATATGCTTATATATATATATATATATATATATATATATATATATATATATATATATATATATACGCTGTATTGTGGATGGGTGTGCATATATATATATGTGTGTGTGTGTGTGTATGTGGGAGTGTTTTGTGTGTGAGTGTGATTGTGCGTGCATGTGCGTATATAGGAGGGGTTTATAAGTACACTGTTAAAGGTTTACTTGCGCTTGTCATATATACATACATGCATACATACATATATATATATATATATATAAATATATATATATATATATATATATATTATATATATATATGTGTATATATATATATATATATATATATATATATGTGTGTGTGTGTGTGTGCGCATGTGTGTGTACAGAGATATAAACACACACTGTCACATACACACACACATATATATATATATATATATATAAATATATATATATATGTGTGTGTGTGTGTGTGTAAAGAGAGCGAGTTATTTACATAAATATGCGTTTGTTTGTGTGGGGATTGTATGTGTGATTCTCGTTTGTACTGCATATATATAGATGTTTATATATCTGGTTATCTATTTCCCCATATATATATATATATATATATATGTGTGTGTGTGTGTGTGTGTGTGTGTGTGTGCGAAAAAACAAAAGAAAAACACCGTATTAAGTTCAGATCCTGGCTGAATTTTTTATATTAAATTTATATTTAAGGAAATTACATTGGGAAAAACATCTTTCTATTAATGAAATTATTTTTTATTGTCCTTATTTCACAAATTTATAGATATGTCGACATATAATTCCTTTCATTTTACAATATCTAACGAATAGATTTGCAAACGAGAAAAACAGCTGACGTACAAACAGTAGATCTCATATTAAAATAGATGGAAATACGACACACACACTCATATATATATATATATATATATATATATATATATATATATATATATATATATATATATATATATAAAATATAAAATAATCTTACATACGTGCTAAATAACTTACTATCTCGACTTGACAAAATACAAGAACTACTTTGAGGGAGAATGTGTCTGTTTTAAAGTTAATTTTGTCGAAATTTGGAAAAGCATTTAAACCGAGAAATTGAAATATCAAGAGAAGAAAATTATATTTTCTTTAGGCAAAGATTTGATTTTCCCTCAGGTTTTGGCTTCTTTTCTACGGTCACAAAATTAGCGTACACTGCGATTATCAATAATGAAATATCTATTTGTTTTTTTTGTTTTTTAATCCATACAAATCCTGTTGGTATTCTTAAATCCTTGTTTAGAATGTCTATCCGTAATATGTTATTGTTACGTTATTGTGTGATGCTATGTTATTAGGTTATTATTACCATATTATGTTATTATTATAGTTATGGATATGAGTGCGATAATATCTTTGTCTATGTTTCTTAAGGAAAATATCGTTTTTCTTCGTTTCAATGAACAGAATCCGTATCAAGAGAAAATTAAACGGATGTCAGCAACAATCCGTGGCATATGTCAAGTAGAACGCCGGCAATTTTATGAAAATGATAGAAAGATATGAAGAAGCAAATCAAAGAGAGTGAAGGTAGGTAAGAAAAGTGAAAAATTGTAACCGTAACGAGAAATATGGAAGCCATT